TAAAGCTTCGGTGCTTCGGTACTTCGGCAGAAGCCATTCAAAGGCAAAAGAAAAAAAAAATCGAGTACCTATTTTCAGCGAAGGGATTTGCAGATCAGAGAAGAACAAGGTAAACTATATTTTCTCAATCCCTAACTTACTAATAGTTATTATTTTACTAACCAAGGGGTAGAAACAACACTAACAACTTAAGGTGTTCATATATAGCAAAATAATGAATTCTTATTAGATTGAATAAAGATTCTTTTAATTTATACCAAGCACTCTAGTGTACAGATTAGGAGTATTTGATACAAGTACTAATTGATGAGAAGAACATAGTTTTTATGCAAACAAAATAAAATTCTTCTTTTCACATACAAATAGTTGTATTAATCAGGGTGTAAGAACAAATAGAGAACAAGCTACATTTCCTATCTATATATGTGCTACTTAAGTGATTGACAAAGAATTAATGCTTAGTTCCATAAGAATGAAAGCAGGGGAGTTAACTAGATTTGAAGGATTGGACCAACTATGTTGGTAATTCACGAAGTTAATACATATATTGGTTTTGTTACAAGTAGGTAGTTGAAGAAGTTGAATGAAGTGCTCGAGGTGACGCATTTGGTATTTCTGCACGAGTACAGTGAGTAGTAATCTTACCGCAATTTGTGTTTTCATAACTTGCATGATTTACACATAATTTTTAATATGAATATGTTACCGATTATTTTAAGTTGCATGTGGGACAAGTCTTTTACTCGATATGATACCGAAATAGTTATTTGAGATGAATATCGTGGTTTTAAATATTTTCGTTGTCACTAGATCTGTTTTACCGTTACTTGAATTTACTGTTATCGAAAAGAAATTATATGATTTGATAAGAACCGAAATGCCCTATATTGTTTTAAAGTATTTTCTACGAGTATATACGGATTACAGAGACAAGTATAAATGGGAGTAGTCATTGAAGGATCCCGTAGCTAACGGAGGGTTCGTTAGACCTGGTGCACCTTGTAATTATCGATTACCGTTATAGCCCTTGCTAGTGGGAAGGTAGAACTAGCATACCGTTACCGATTTTCCTCGAGTAGGGACTACCGTTATATATGACTTCTTGCAAAGAAGTCCACAGTTATACCGATTACATGATCCGTTCATTGAAACCTCCCAAAATATAAATATTGATATTAGACAGTGGTTACCGAGCTTATTACCGAACTGTTAATTGTATTATACTACAAGAAAAGCATGACGAGACTGAAAATTATTTATTGTTTCTGAAAGGGCATTTTTATGTTATTTTCTGTTTGATATACTAGCATGTTTTCTGACTTGTCCCCAATAAAAACGGTTGTGGTTAAGTGTTATTACTCACTGAGCTAGCGACTCATTCCCCGCTAATTTTTTTACAGAGACAGCAGTTGACACATGCGAGGATTTCGTTAATTAGAGCGCACAGGTTGATATTTCTCGGTGAGCCTCGCACTTGTTCGCGTGGGCAGATATTTTATTTATTGTTATGGTCTTTTCATTGAACTCTTAGAGTCGCTCCATAATCATTATTTTAGTGTCATGAGTATTCTTTTGTTATTATAGTCTTGTGTTGAGTATCGTTCTCATTTATCAAAGTTGGAGATAAATTAGTATTTCTAGTGGTTAGTTGGTGGTTTAGTTATGGTAGAGACTTGTATTTGTTAATTGACAAGTTGTCAATTGTTTGGTATGATATTAGGATGTTTGGTTGTTGATTTGAGACAGAAAATTGTTGGGATGGTCCTAAAACAGAGAAAACTCTGTCCGATTTTCTGTAAAATTACCGATGAGGCTTACTTGGGAGCACTTGCTTCTAAGCGCCGGTCACAATCCTAAATTGGGTCGTGACACAGTGTTAGTGCTTCCGCCCAAAATGTATTTGAAAGTTCAGCCTCTGAAAGCAAGCATCTAACTCTCTCAACTAGAGTTCTATTCATCCTCTCTGCCAAACCATTCAATTGAGGCGTCTTGGGCGGTGTTTCCCGATGACGAATTTCTTGTTCCTTGCAATAGTTATCAAAGGGACCACAATATTCACCACCATTGTCAGTGCGAATACATTTTAATTACTTTCCCGTTTGTCTCTCGGCTAAGGCCTGAAATTCCTTAAACACGCCAAGTGCTTGATCTTTAGATTTCAAAGGATACACCTAGAGCTTACGAGAATGATCATCAATGAAGGTCACAAAGTAAAGTGCACCACCTTTTGACTTTACTTTAAAAGGACCACACAAATCAGAGTGTACTAGCTCCAATAAATCGAGCTTTCTTGAGGGAGGATGGCTATGAAAGGAAACCCTTTTCTATTTGCTAGCCAAACAATGTATACACCTTTTCTGCTTTGCTTGTTTCTCTCCAGAAAGCAGACTTTTCTTAGCCAAACACGTAATCCCCCTCTTACTCATATGAATCAATCTTCGATGACACAATTCTGATAAAGTATCACTTTCTACCAGATTTATGGAGTCATTAAGAATAGAACCCTATGTCACATATAATTGACCGGACTTGACTCATCGAGCCACTACTAACGAGCCCTTGGTGAGCTTCCATTGGCCATTAAAGAGGTCATTATGGTAACCTTCATCGTCTAATCTTCTTGCGGAGATCAAATTGAAAGGAAAGTCTGGAGCATGCTTGACATCTTGAAGAACTAACGTTGAACCGTTATTAGTTTTCAAACAAACTGTGCCAACACCAAACACCTTAACTTCACTGGCATTGCCCATCTTTAACACTCCAGAATCATTAGGAGTATAAGATGAGAAAAAATATTTTCTTGGTGTGACATGTGAGGTAGCTCCAGAATCTACTATCCAGCTCGTCTCATGGGATACCAAATTGATAACGTTTTCATCATAAGCAAAAAGAAGGTCATCTCGAACAATAGCAGCAATATTGTTCTCGTTATTTTCAACTTTCTTTCCTTCTCTAATGTCTTGCAACCACTTGTGGCAAAACCTTTTGATGTGTCCTTTCTTGACACAGTGGTTGCATGTAATATTATGGTATTTGGACCTTGACTTACTCTACTTTTACCTCTATTCCTCGAGTCTCTTGTTCTATCTCTCCCCCGGTCTTCTATAACAAAGATATCTGCTTGTGAGGACGAACCCAGAGATTTTCTCCTCACTTCCTCGTTCAGCACACCACTCTTGGCATATTCCATGTCACCTTACCTCCAGGAGCTGAATTTGTCAAAGAAACACGAAGAGTTTTCCAAGAGTCAGGCAGAGTATTAAGAAGCCAAAGTCCTTGTATCTCATCATCGAAATTAACTCCCAGTCCAGACAGCTGATCGAGGACGCCCTGAAAATCATTTATGTGATCAAGGATAGGGCTGCCTTCCTTGTATTTAAAGGTCATCAATTGCTTTAGTAGGAACAACTTGTTGTTCCCAGTTTTTGAAGCATAAAGAGTCTCTAGCTTTTCCCACAATGATCTAGCATGTGTCTCGTTCACAATATGGTTGCGAACATTATCTTAAACCCATTGTCGTATATATCCACATACTTATTGGTGCTCGAAATCCCAATCTTCATCAGATATACTCTCAGGTTTATGAGCTGAAAAAACGGGTAGATGCATCTTCTTCACGAACAACAAATCTTTCGTCTTGCTTCTCAAAACATTATAATTTCTCCCATTTAAACATACCATATTGCTCATATTCGCCTCCATTCCGTAACAATCAGGATAAATATCCAAGGCTCTGACACCACTGTTATGTCGAGAAAGAGGCAAACCCGAAAATAAAGAAAGTAAAGAATACCAAATTTTAACGTGGAAAACCCTTCAAATCGAAGGTAAAAACCCCGGGATCACAAAGATCCAAAAAACTCCACTATAACAATAAGAGGGTTACAAAAATTCTCCAAATTGGCTATACAACAAGTGACAAACACGGAGCAACAATAGCAACAAGAGCAACAACAAATCAATTGAAGAAAGAGGAGAATTCACAAAAACGAAGCTGCTGTTCGAGGCTCGAGATCAGATGCTACGAGCCTCCAAATCCGATCTCCACCGTTAAATCAAACACCAAGTTGTTAGGAACAGTCAGTCAAAATTTCAGCCCGATCCAACGGTTAACGAATCGGAAAACGTAATTTGAAGTTGGCTGGTCGAAATAAAAATCTGCAGCAAAACAAATACTTTTCTTATCTCTTCTCTCTTGATGAAAGCTCTCTCAAATACCACTCTTATGTGCTTAAGTCTTTCAAAGACTTGTATCAATGAGCATAGAATAATTCTTCAAGGTTGTCCTATTTATAGATCATGAGTGGTGCTTTCCTTTAAAGCCAAAACCAACTCTAAATAGGAACAAAAATCGAATCCAATTCCGAATAGGAATGAAAACCAAAAGAGAATAAGATTAGACCATTGGGTCTTTGGCTGGACAACATGGGCATGTGCCCAACAAAAACAAAAGGCAATAATGAAAGCTACACTTGTACTTTTCTTTTTTTTTGGTAGACTAGTATGCCTAGAAAGAAAAATACAACTAACATGACTAGGAATTGAAAACAATTAAGATCGCTTGGAATTTCTTAGCATATCTTAAGGGTGTTTGTCCTAGATTGCTATATGCCAAAATTGATTAATAGAGTAGTTAAGATTAAGTTTAAATTTATTCTAAAATATGTAAAAATATATTCTAAATGTAACCCTAAAAGTAAGTTTCACTCATACAATTAAGTCCCTGTACTTTAGATCATAAACATTGTGGAATGTTAAAGGGAAACATACTAGTAATAGAAAACAAAGGTAACAATATCCCTACAATGTATTGTTTAATTTACATTAGCACGAACAGTAGGATCACACAGTTTTTTTTTAAAGTATCATATTATTTAATATTTCTTCCGAGTAAGAATGGTGCATATAAAATTTATTTACATCATAGAAGTTACAACCACAAGTACGCAGACTCGTAGTAGGTAAGTTGGGGTGCATCACAGTATATCATTTTTTACAATATATAAACACACACCATTGCCTCTATTTTACATATTACTTTCCAAAGAAACGAGCCTATTTCTTCCCTATATCCACTCATCCTTGTCTTATATCATCTTCATCATCATCTACCTAAACCTGAGCTCAACAGAAAAGTAATACCATGCCGTCAGTTTCCGGCCAAATCGTCTGTGTTACTGGTGCCGGAGGTTTCATCGCCTCTTGGCTTGTTAAAATTCTTCTTGAAAAAGGCTACACTGTCAGAGGAACAGTACGAAATCCAGGTACGCGCGCGCACATACACACAGAGACCATTTAATCCATATTTTAGTATGCGCGGATTTAGAAAATGTTCGACTGAATCCATTGTTTTCAGTTCGAATTATGTATACCCATGTAACGAAATTAAAATGTACGTATATAATAAGATCACGTTCATTCTGAATTCACCTGAATTTAGCTGTTTTTTTGTTAGTTATTTATGACTATGATTATGACGGGGTTTGTTAATTATAATTTATGTATAGATGATCCGAAAAATAGTCATTTGAGGGAGCTTGAAGGAGCAAAAGAGAGGCTCACTCTGTGCAGAGCTGATCTTCTTGATTTCCAGAGTTTGCGAGAAGCAATCAGCGGCTGTGACGGAGTTTTCCACACAGCTTCGCCTGTCACTGATGATCCAGTAAGCGTCTTAACTTATCCACCCATCTCATCTTTCATGTTCTTTGTGCTAAGATGAAACAAAAAAACAAAAACAAAAAAGGTAGCTCGAGCGGTGCATTAAGCTCTTGTTATGGGGTCCGGAGAAGGGTCGGACACAAGGGTCTATTGTATATAGTCTTTCCCTGTATTTCTGCAAGAGGCTGTTTTCATAGCTCAAACTCGTGATCACCTAATCACATACCAACAAACTTTACGAGTTACGTTAACCTGAAATAAAAATGACAAAAGAAAACCATTTTTACTATGTCAAAAGAATTCGTATCTAACTTCTACGAGGGAAGCGTGCACACTTATCTTAAAGAATTTCTTATCTTCTTGTTTGTATTTTTTTTTTATTTTGATCATTTTTTTCCCTTTCTTGGTTGTTGATTTGAGTATTAGGGAAACACTAACACAAATATAATAGTACTGCTAGTTGGTAGAGTGGGGCCAACTGGTAAATTGTAAGCATGCCTTGTGTGGTCGGTTTGTTAACAAGTGCGCACTACTGAAATTCGGAAACTTTAATTTTAATTTAATAAAGCTTTCTGTTCCACCTAAAGGTCCATGATGTGGAAAAGAATGTCTTTTTAATGTCATTTAGTTTCTGATTTTCCTTTCTTTTCTTTTGTTGCTGACAAAATGTTAAAGGAACAAATGGTGGAGCCAGCAGTTATTGGTACAAAGAATGTGATAACGGCAGCAGCAGAGGCCAACGTGCGACGTGTGGTGTTCACTTCGTCAATTGGTGCTGTGTACATGGACCCAAACAGGGATCCTGATAAGGTTGTCGACGAAACTTGTTGGAGTGATCCTGACTTCTGCAAAAACACCAAGGTTTGCGAAATTGGAAATTTCTAGTTGGCTCTAAATTACTTAAGTTAAACATGACTCTAAATTAGTAATTCATTCATTAAAGATTTCTCTTTTTCTGATGTTTTGTTAAGTAACACCAACATGGTAAAGAATTTTACAATATCAGTGCAATTTAAACTAGTATAATAGATTATTGCTCTATTTTTCATTTTATTATGACCTATAAAGACTTGTTATTATATGTCGATTTAACTTATGATCAGATGAAATTTATGTATTATCAAAAAGAGGCAGACCTATGTGTAACCTTGAGGAGCCACAGACCCGTATACAGTATTGTCAAAGGCGAAAGCTCTAAAAAGTGCTCTACGTCTATTTCGGTTTTAAGTACAAAGCGGACTTAAAGTGTGGACTTTAGTTAAAAAAGGCGCAATGAAAGAAAAAAAAACCTGTGTAATTCAAGAACAAAGTAACAAATTCATTCATAATGTTTCCTTAGCACAACTAATACACTTATTTTCGATTATAGTTGTTGTTAGTGCCGCTTGATTCAAGAGAGAACTCATGGGCAATAAGGCGCATGCCTTAGTACCTTGCCTTACACTGAAACGCAACTTAAGCGAGGCGAAGCGCCCTCCTTGAGCTTTTCTCTGAGCTTCAGGGCTTAAGCGCGCCTTAAATGAGCCTTTGACAATACTGTCCGTTAACTTGAGCTAAATACTAGTTTCCCGGTCGCGTTAAAATCCCAGGTCCGCCTCTGTTATCAACGCACAAAACTTAACTCTTTTTAAATTGATATTGTAGAATTGGTATTGCTATGGAAAGATGGTGGCAGAACAAGCAGCATGGGACGAAGCAAGGGAGAAAGGAGTTGATTTGGTGGCAATCAACCCAGTGTTGGTGCTTGGACCACTGCTCCAACAGAATGTGAATGCCAGTGTTCTTCACATCCACAAGTACCTAACTGGCTCTGCTAAAACATATGCCAATTCAGTTCAGGCTTATGTGCATGTTAGGGATGTGGCTTTAGCTCACATACTTCTCTACGAGACACCTTCTGCATCTGGCCGTTATCTCTGTGCCGAGAGTGTGCTACACCGCGGCGACGTGGTCGAAATTCTCGCCAAATTCTTCCCGGAGTATCCTATCCCCACCAAGTAAGTTCAACTCCCAAATCTGTCAATATAATCAAGCCTTTTTTCTTGTAGAAATGACACCAGGTAGCTATTCTAGAGGGCTGCAATTTAGAAATTAGCCAACATGTCCTGAATTTCAGTTTTTCAGTTTACTTTTTCAGGACACAAAGTCCTGAAGTTAATTTTTTTAGTGCAAATTTTCAGGACAAAATGAGTACTGGCCCAAGAAGGATTTAGTGTGTTAGTGTCGGGTTCAATTGGACCTATACTTTCGACATGGAGTAGAAATATATGTGTAAAAATATACTAAAATTACAAAAATAGTAGATATGAACCCATAAGTTAAACCCGTAGAGTTTAAATCTTGGATTCGCCTCTGATACTGGCTAATCCCGAAACAGCAGCCCTAAAATGGCAATTTGTGTACTTTATGTAGCATGAATATTGTTTGGAAATTAAGATAGTGAAGCACTTATAATATTCAAAAAAATTATATTCTAGGTGCATTAAAAACTAATTTGCCTAAGACCTAGTTTACAAAAAATGAGTCAAATTTGCTAAGTTGTTGGATGTTTTTTCCTTGTTCTGTACATTAAGAAAGGGATGAGATATTCTTGTTGGAAGATTCAGTTCAGCGCTACTCCCTCAAGTCCAAAATAAGTGATTTTTTGGATGTTTTCACACGGATTAAGAAACTCACCTTTTAGCATTAATTAGCAATAAAATTAACCATGTTAACCTTTACTATCTCACATAAACACTCCTAACACATATTCCAACACTATTTACTCCGAGGGCAATGTAGGAAAAAAATAATTAATTCATTCTTGAAATTTGAAAAAATCACTTATTTTGGATCACAAAAAAAGGCCAAAAAATCACTTATTTTGGACCGGAGGGAGTATAATCTTTAATGAACCAAAAAAAATGGAAACTTCCACTTCTTTTTTCTGTTTGAGTTAGTGATGATGTGCCAGTAGATGTACCAAACTTTATTGGTAAGAAGAATATGACCCAAGACATTGATACAATACATACAAAGTACCCACTAACAAACACTTGAGTAACAACAGTACTATCCAACAATATTATTGGACCTGAATTGCTCTTACCTAACAAAACATCATTAACTTAGCTAGGTGGATCCCAACTTCTCCCTTTGCTTTTACCAATTTCGGCATTTGCGTGGGACATCCATCATTATCCTCAACAACATAATGGGACCAACTTCTTTTCTTATGATTAGTATAGTTTCACTTAAAAATATTAAATGTTGAAGTACAGTACTCAAATCTTGGTTTTATTTGTAAAATACCAGGTGTTCAGATGTGACAAAGCCAAGGGTAAAACCGTACAAATTCTCAAACCAAAAGCTAAAGGATTTGGGTTTGGAGTTTACACCAGTAAAACAATGCTTATATGAAACAGTGAAGAGTCTACAAGAGAAAGGTCACCTTCCTATTCCTACTCAAAAGGATGAGATTATTCGAATTCAGTCTTAGCAATTCAGAAGCTCTTAGCATGTATTGAGGAAAAGGATCAATGGTTAAAGTTGACCATGGCGTTGTCCCTTTATGTACCAAGAACCAAATGCACCTAGAAATTTACTTGTCTACTTCTTACTTTAACTTGTCATGGAAATGTTTTTAGTGTTTTCATTGTTATGAGATATATTATGGTGTAAATTACCCTCAAACATGAATAATGTCCAAATCTTTCTGGTAACACTGTGAATATTACCATTGATCAACCAAATGATTACACCTAGAGAGCATTTTATATCACAATCAAACTGATTATGAATATTAAGCCTCTAACAAGAAAACTATACATTCGTAATCCTCCTCAAGAACTCCCTAACTCTACGTGTCTTTCTTGACATGTGTATTGAATATTAAGCACTTCATATCTTTCTATAATCCTAATTTTAAACCAATTTAAACAATTTCTTCAGAGGGCTGGCTGAGGTCTCCAATTATAATTTTCTTCACTTGACACGTTATTGACTAACGTACGAGTGATTAGTTTGTCAAAAAATTGAAAATTCCAAACTTCGAAAGAAAATAAAAGATGGGGATGTCTCATTTCCATTCTCATAGTCAATACACATGATTAACATAGGCGGACCTATGTGTTATTGTAAGGGCTCACTGGACCCCTTAACTTCGATATATATATATATATATATATATATATATATATAATGGACTATGGGACGGTGTCCCGGAAGATCCACTGGACAGTTGAGAGAGGACTACAGGACGGTATCCTGGGAGATCCTCATGGCATCTTTGGCATTGAGCTGCACCTTTTTGGTGTTTATTCTGTACTTCGTTCATTTGTTATTGACATGTATATTCTGTCTTAATTCGCTGTGGTTGTGCAAACATTTCAGGTGCTGGCCGCACCGTTTCTTATACCTACTAGTTGGTAGGATCCTTGTTAATCGCACTTGCACCAGCATACACGTAGTTGGACACACCATTAGAGGTAAATCCCTTCCGATTTTGCTAAGGGTGGAGATACGCCCTCGTTTACTCACTATATATGTGAGAGTGGCCGAGTTAACCAGTTAGTTGTCAGCATGACCGTGAGATCGATGGGGCACAAGATGCCAAGTGTTAGCCTTTTGATGTTGGGTCTTCGTGAGTGGTGGTTTGTCCGAGGTTTTGGTAAAATTGTGGAAAGAGTTGGATAAGAACTTAGGTGAATATAATTGTAGGATATGAGTTGTCGACTTGTTTTCCCCTTGCTTTGTGGTGACTTTAGGATTTGGATTGTGATTCTGCCGTCACTCGTATCATCATTTACTATATGCCCGTTGTTACTTATTGCCCTTTTTCCCCTTATTGTGAATTGTAGCATTTTTAGTCATTCATGTAGTCTTTATCTAATCATATATCGTTTCCATTATTCTTATGATTGTACTGTTTATTGACCGGTAGGTGTCTTGACTGTTCCTCGCCACTACTCCACCGAGGTTAGTCTTGATACTTACTGGGCACCGCTGTGGTGTGCTCATGCTACTCTTCTGCACACTTTTTGTTGTGCAGATACAGGTACTCCCATTCAGTTTCTGTCAGCCTTGGAATGAGGCGTATCTGTAGAGACTTCAAGGTATATCTACTACGTCCGCAAACCGAGGAGTCCCTTTCCAGCTTTCTGTAATAAGTATAGTTCTTTCAGTACTTTTCCTTTGTATAGATATTCTTGAGTCAGAGCACCTTATGTATCCCTTAGCTTGTGATTTGTGAGATTCCGGGTTTTGGGAAATTTTGTTAGCTACGAGAGTTGTCATTGTATGTGCCAGGCGGCACCTTAAACGCTGATTTATTTTACTGGTTCAATTTTAACTATTTTCTTCCGCAATTTGGTTTATTTTCCGCAATGTTAGGCTTACCTAGTCATAGGGACTAGGTGCCGTCACAACATGTTCACGGAGGGCGAACTGGGGTCGTGACAACAATGTTTGGAAGTTATGCTAACTTATGAATTTTTTTAACGATATGTAGGTAAATTATCCAAATAATGGTATAAATCAATTTTTGAAAGATGTATCTTGGGGACCTGGTGTTGAGGTAACAACAATGTCTAAGTACGTTGTGAATGGTTATAAGTTTCATATAGAGGATTGCTCTAAAAATAAAATTAGCAACAACAGTGGGGTGTGGGTTCAAGGTGGTGATGGCAACCAAGATGGAGATATTGATTATTATGGTGTGCTCAAAGAAATAATAGAACTAGAATATACAGGTTGGCCATTTATGAAATTGATACTCTTTAGATGCAAGTGGTTTGACCCACATCCAACAAGAGGTACAAGAGTACACAATCAATACAACATAATTAAGGTTAATCATTGTTGATACCCAATTTTTCCTATGTATTTTTGTACCCAAAATACTTTCAAAATAGCATACGTGTGCATATATAAGCACACCCATGAGTTTTGGTATTTTTCATGATTTTTAAACCAATTTATTGCCTGTTTTAATACCACAAAAATCCAAAATTATTCCCAAATTATCATTTTGGTGAGTAACTTATTTCATTCTCATGTTTACACCAAAATATAAGTAAGGTAATTTTTGCATATTTTTTACAAATTCATTTGGCATTTTTAAAGCTAAATTGCATATAATTGCAATCATAGCCTATCTTGTAATTTTTAGCATTTTATAATTATAAAATTAATCTCAGCATTTTTAAATTAATCTTTATAATATTTATTTACCCAGTACTCTTAATTTACTTTTAAAATTGTGTTACAATTTTATCAAAAAATTAAAAAGGGAAAAATGGCTTTTTACGATTTAGCCCCAATGCATTTCAATTATAGCCAAATTGATAACCAAATTCAGCCCCAATTTGAGCCCAAATCACCCCAGCCCAATTACCCAATCAACCCGACCCAGTACCCATTAAATCAAACCCGCCCGCTTTCTTTTAATCTGAGCCGTTGATCATTTTTTATCAACGGCCCAGACCTCCCCTTTCCTTTTTTAATTTCAAACGACACCAAACCCTACCCCATTCCTCACAATACGCCGCCTTTGAATCCTCCTCTTTTCTCAACTCTCTCTCAACTCACCTCAAACCCTAGCCGCCGCCTCTCACCGAAACCCTAATCCACGGCTTCCCAAATTCATCGGAGGCCTATACCGGCCTCCCATGGCTTCTATCGCTCATCTCTGAGGTCTTATGACCAGATCTTGAAGGGGTCTCGACCAAGCCGTTGCTCGATGGCTGTTCTCCGGTCGCCTTCAACCTCTGTCCGGCCAGCCATGGCCATTCGAGCTCGATCTTCGACTATCCTGCCTAGATCTGAAGTTTCCAAAGCCTTTCTCATCGCCTGGGTTTCTTATGAAACCCTAGCTCTAAGGTTCCTTCTATTTATTTCTTAGATCTGCTCCAAGATCTATATGTGTTTGAACATTATGAGCATGTTTCTCAAAGTATTCCCAATTTTTTTGCTTTCAAAACTCTATGTTCTTTTAACTATGGTTTTAGGTTAAGTTATTTCGAAGTTCCTCTCTTATTCTTGGCATGTTTCTGACTTTGTTTGTTTGTTTTCCTTATCTGAGTAAGCATGTTGAAAATCCTAATTTTGTGATTGTTTGAGT